TGTAGTGAACTCTAAATAAGTATCAAAAGATAAATTGCTAGGATTTCAGATTTGGGCCACAGGATAACGAAGAGGAAGTTTATATTGGAATCACAAGTTTTTGGCATTAAAATCATACGCTAGCTAATGAACACATCATATTGGCAGAATAAAGTAATAAAATGAAAAGATACGCAGCATGTATTATCTCCTTCCAAAAAATAATACCTGGTAGGTTCAGGGCCTACAGCCTCACAGAGCTCATACAATTGATTAGCAACCATGTAACGCACACGCCAAGACTTATCCTATCCAGCATCAAATCAAATCACAAGAAGAAACAATAAAAATAAATGTATACTGAAGGGTTTATCTGATGCAGAGTAAATTCCATGTAACTGTAATGCATCTTAGAAGAGGAACATTACTAAGTGCATAGCATGGCAACCTAGTCATCTATAAGGCATATGAATGATTGAAAAAAAGGGAGGGAATATATATTATCAACAGTTTAAATGTACCTGGGAAAAGTTGACAATAACAGGCAGTATATGTGCAACGCAATCTTGAGGTTCCAACAGCTTGCCAAGAGCAGCACAGCCCTCCACAGCCAACAATCTAACAGAGTCTTGATCTGAAGCAATATGCAAAGTACATATTCAAGATGGCGTGTATAACTGGAAAAATGAGCAATGGCTCCATAACATATAAAACAGCCCTGCGGGCCAGACAAATGACAGACTGTCTATCTAGAAATTACAACATAAATGTATTCAATTACCGTCCTGGGTAAGATCCTCAAAAATTGACATGATGTCTGCCTTCAGATGAGGATATTCTACAGTTGCAGCAAATTTACCAAGATTTGATGCAGCAGACCTTCTAACCATAGGCATGTCATCTTGACACAATTGATTGTATATTGACCTCAACTCAGTCTTTGATGTTTCTGGTGCACTTGGGTATGCAATATGAAATAGTCCACATGCAGATACTCGGGCAGTAAACCATTCGCCCGCTGCCAATCTCTGGAACAGAAAGCATAGCATGCATTGGGCATGATGTTCCATCAACATAATGAGACAGTAGCTAGAATTAACAGGGTATAAATCACCCATCATAAATAAAGAAACAGAACTCAGAAATTGTGATAGAATTGTCACAAAAAAAAAATGTTAATATTGCTTCCAACTAGGATGTATGACATAAATTAGCCTCCAGGTCCAGGCATCATTCTAGTTAACTTAGATCCATCAACCAATCTCTGCTGAGAATTTAACAAAATAGAAAATAATTGAATTTGTTGAATCTCACATGGATAAAGAAAATAATCGAATTCCAGGTAAAGAAATGATAAAAATTGAAACCACCAATAGGAACCACAAGAAGCATTAGAACAATGGATAAACAGTGATGGTGATCGAGAGCAAGTTTCCTGTGGCAACTCGCAACATTCAGGATGGAATCACCCATGAGGTAATAACAGAATATCTATTATATCAACGAAAGGTGTTATCTAACCTTCACCAATGGGATAAATGAGTCAACCAAATCATTCTCCCTCATCTGAGATCCAATTCTGCAAAGAGACTCCACAGCTTTGTCTCTCACGCATGTTTCTTCAACAGTGCAAAGTGTTTCCAGAGGGGGGAGTAACACGTTGGCATGTTCCACTCCTCCAACATAAGGAATGAAAACTCCCAACTCTTCCGCCATTGCAAGAAGCACCTCATCATCATCATCATTGTTCTCACTTAGAAATGGGATTAATTCCTTACGAGTTCGCTCCTCCCCAAGAGCCCGTGCAATTGTTGACAGTTTGCGTATTGAATTCAGGCGTAGCTGGATGTCATCATTTTTCAGCTCGTCTATGAGCACCGCTATTGGATATAGTGGTTCATCCACATTAGACATTTTCTTTCCAAGTTTTCTGGAAGAATTAAGAAATTAATCAAGTTGCAAGGAGTGAAGAATCTCAAAAATTGCCACGTCTTCAGAAAATAATGATTAAAAGCATTAGATTATTATGTATAAGTCACATTTTAAGCCACCTAGAATTTTTAACTTTTTTCCCCTCTTGTTCAGACTTCAGACATATTAAACTAAAAGGATATCAAAAAAGGGCTGTAAACGAAACTTGCAAGAGATAAATAAAAGAGGGAAAGGAAACATAAAGTTCCAAGTTCAATGGAAGTGAAAATTAATCATAGGAATTGATTAATTTATCACTGATCACCAAGCAACCAATTAAACTAGCATGCTGCATCCCAAATAATCTAAAGCTTCATCAAACAGAAAGATCGGGAAATTACTTGCAACCATTTAGTCCAGACAGGAAAACAAAACCTGAAAACCCTAGTGATTAAATCAAGAGCTGGAAGGTTGTCGAAAACGAGGAGAAATTTTTTTTTTTTTAAAAATCCCATAATCTTAAAGTTTAGCACTCCTTCTAGATTCTTAAGAAAGTTGCAAGCATTAAAGAAATCGATGCTTTGAACCAAAATGTAAGTGACTCCAGAAACCCGTCGAATAGAACTTGCTCTCGATTTCGAGGAAAATAAGGAAACCAAATTCATTAAGATTCAAAATTGGACGCTTCTAGCTCCTCTAAAAGCTTTCCGGGAGCTAGACATGGGGAGTGATCCGATGTTTCTCCATCAAAAATAGAAGATCCTTCACTTTAGACCAAAGAATGCAAGAATGCAATTCCTAGAACAATCAAAAAATTGAAAAGTAGCACCCTCTTACCAACTTTAATTTCTATGCCTTCCCGCCGGACGCCTCAGATTCCAGAAGTCGGAAGAAGACCCAGAGGAGCGAGAAAGAGGGATAGGAGAAATGAAATAGATTTTTATTTATTACATTTTTTATTTTTTTTCATTTTCTTTTTAATATTTATCGGATCCAGTCAGTCAGAGTAATACTGTTAGGCCCATTTCGTTTGAATTCAACCCTCTTTTTTTTTTAACAATTGGGCTTTTCTGATCGTTTTGTAATTTGTAAATGTTTGGTTTTATCCAAAGTCATTGCCCTAACTAACAAGCTAGGTATATTAAGAGAAATTAATCCCTCATAATATAGTGTGATAAATTAAAATTTAAATTTTCACCAAAAATATTTATATTTAGTATTTAATAACACCTCAAAATTAAAAAGAATCACTATCCTAGTGAGAGATATCATTAAATCCAAAGTCTTGAAATCAAGTTTAAGTGAATACACAAAAAATGGCTTGCCTTTGGAAGAACTATTTCAATTGAGTTTGATAATTTTTTAATTTAATCCAGTAAGATAGTCATATACAAAAAATGCTTGCCCTTTCAAATTTATTTTTTCTTGAAAAAATATAATTTTTTATCTCTACACTTTGCTTACATTTTGCTATTGATTTATATACTTTTTTTGATATTCTAAATCTTTATACTTTTATTTTTTATTATTATAGTTCCCTTTATGAATAAAGTGTAGGGATCTTAGAGAAAACTAAAACAATAAAAAACAAAAGTGTAAGGATTCAAAACATAAAAAAAATGCAAGGATTAAAAACAAAACTCGAGTAAAGTGTAAGAATCAAAAATTATTTTTTTCTTTTTTTCAATTTTAATTTTCCATATTGAAACAATGCCATATATTTCCCTCATGTCCATAAGCGATAGAGTTGGTAATTTGAATTAAGTTTGACGGACCCGCTTAACTCACTTGAAAAATTTAGAACCAAACCTAAAAAAAATATTATTTTTTTAATATTTGAATCTATTTAGGTAGAATAGGCTTGAGACAATTTAAGCCAAGTCCAATTGGATTTGAGCTTGGCCCAAATATTCAAATAAAAAATACTTTTTTAAAAAATATATAAAATATAATAAATATTAATTAATTCTTTAAGTTTTATATCATTTTTTATTAAAAAAATATATATTTAAGTTCATTGCTATAGTTATTTTTTAAAAAATTAAAATTATTTATATTTTCATATTTTTATTTTTTTAATTAATAAAATATCTCAAAATGATATTTAAAATATATTTTAATATTAATTTTTATATTTCAAGACTCTTTTTTAAAACAAATGTTTTAAGTCTTATACATCATTCGTGCATTTAAAAAATATATTTCAAATTTTTTACAAAATAAAATAATTAATTTTAAAATAAAAATAGAATTTAAAATAATTTTAAAAATAAAATTCAGTCATATGTAAATTTTTGACTCTATTACTAATAAACATAATAAATAAAATATTTTTAAATAATTATTTAATTTGCCATATTTTGTTAAAAATTAAAAGTAAACTAAAATAAAAAGTAAAAAACCTTTGTGTGTAAGGATTAAATAATATAAAAATTAAAAAAAATAATTTTAAAAAAATATTTTACTCATAATTAAATAATTTTTTTTATATAATATAATGATTGTTATTTTTTCATATTCTTAAAAGTAAAATCTTAAAAGTTATTAAAAATTTTAAACTAATTGAGATAATAATTTTAAATTAATAGTCTAATTATGATTAAATTGAGATCAATTTAATTATAATCAAAAAATTTAATTTAATAAAAATATATAAAATATTTATATATGATTATGATAAAAGAAATATTTAAACAATCAAAATATTAATTTATAAGTAAAGGAAACATTTATGAATAAATTATATATAATATAATAAAATAATAACAGAATTACTTAAGTACAAAGTTGATAAATTATTATTTTTTATTTTATTTTTTTAAAATTAAAATAACATTTTATATTTAATAGAATTATTTAAAATTTAAAATTTGTTTAAAAAATAAAGAAATTTATAAAAAAAGTTTTTAATATTCTGACCGGCTTGAATAAGCTGAAAACTCAAAAGTATTAAGATTAGATTTGATTATATAAATTTTTTTAAAAAAATAAAATATTTTAAGCCTGAATTTAATAAGTCCCGCTTGAATTAAGTACAATTTGAATAATCCTTCCCACCTGAATTACCAAGCGAACATCTAATTTTTCGTTTGTTTGTTTGTTTGGTTTTTTTTTTTTTTTTTTTGGGGGCCAGAACGATCCTCGCGCTTGATAAAGGACGGATTCGGGAATTTTTCCCGCCCATTTTCTTGTGTTGCAAATCATGCCTCCGAAGTCCGATAATTCTGAGGGTAAGATCATTGCCGGAACCGGCATTGATCTTTCTTGCTTGTTTGTTTTGCTTGCTTTAATCAATTTTGTTGAACTAAGCCTTCTTCTTGCTGCATATTATCTGTTATCTGTTTTTTTATTCTTTTTTAAAATTTTTGTCACGGTTCTTTTCATTTTCGATTTGATGGTTTTCATTCGTGAATCTAACATCTCTGTCTTCCCGATTTCCTTTTTCTGTGAATTTTGCAGCCATCGTATTTAACTTCGTGAATGAGGTAAACACTTGTACATGTTCAACGCGGGCTTCATAAGGAATCTGTTCTTTAATCAAGGATTGAGTCTGTGAATTTCTGGTGATTTAGCTCGCAAATTAATATGATTGTGCTCGATTTTAGCTTATGTTGATTGGGAGGCGTGAAAAATTAGTCAGTTGCTTGTTTTGATGAGCGCCTCCTTCAATAGCTGACGGTAATTTGTTCAATAGAAATGATGGATCTGTGAGAGTAACCGTAGAACATTTTTTGTCTTCTTTTCTCAGCAAAATAGGCCGTTAAACGCTCAAAATGTGGCCGACGCATTGCAGAAGTTCAACCTCAAGAAGTCGGTCGTACAGAAAGCACTTGATGCTCTTGCTGACAGTGGTCGAATTTCATTCAAGGAGTATGGTAAGCAGAAGATATACCTTGCCCGGCAAGATCAATTCAGTATTCCAAATAATGAAGAGCTGAATAAGATGAAGGAACAGAATGCCGACCTGCAAAAACAGCTAGAAGAACAGAAAAAGGCTATTGGCAAGATTGAAGGAGGTATGATTAAGCAATATTATTCATGTTTTTCTAACCCTTATCAAAGATTTTATGCACACGGTAGTTGTCATGGGTCTGCAACCTGCAAGACCACAGCTTTGGTGGTACAATTTATGGATCCGCTTGTTACTGCAGAAATCAAAACATTGCAATCAAATTTAACACTGGAACAAATCCGTGGAAGAGAAGCAAAACTGAGAAATGAGGTAACTAACACGTGTTTTATGAACTCTTTACTGTGTTTAACCCTACTTCAATGAAAGGGGCTTGATGATATTTCAGTTAAAACTAAGTGTACTCCGCATCTTTTGTAACATATTTCAGATTGAAGAAATGGAGAACAAACTGGCTAAGTTGCGTGGAGGTGTAACTCTGGTGAATCCAGAAGAACGCAAGGCAGTTGAGGAGACCTTCTCAGAGAAATTCAGTCAGTGGAGAAAACGAAAGAGAATCTTCAAGGATTTATGGGACACCCTGACTGAGAACTCACCTAAGGATCCCAAAGAATTCAAGGTCTTTTTTATCCTTCCCTTTTCTCGCAAACTAGATATAATATTTTATATTTTTTCTTGCGTTGCTGATAGTTTCTGGAACCTTTCAGGAAGAGCTTGGACTAGAATATGATGAAGATGTCTGTGTGAATTTGCAGTCATATAGTGAACTGTTGCAACGTGGTAAGAAGCGACCAAGGGGGCAGTAAAATATATACACACAGATACCAGAATTCTATCCTTGCCTTTTTGACAAATTAGGGGCATTAATTCTTGGTGTCTTTCCTCACAGAACATGATTACATATTACACGTAGCCTGTATTAAGTTTAATCCAGATCAAGTGTTAGGTTTATTGGCCGTCAATTTCAAGCATTGCTCACTGGAGCATAGCTTCATAAAACAGTGCAAAGTGATTGTTTACATTTCTCTTCAGAGCCTTACATTAGTCTCATGTATAGCATACTACTATACGTGGATGATAAAGCATTTTGCCACATGATTTTCAAACTCAACCTACTGATAAATAATAACTGAGTTCCAGAAAATAATTTAACTCTGAGCAGTATCATAATATCATTAAACCTGACAGGAACTCATCGTGTTCGTTGCCATCCCTAAAACCTTTACCTATGCTAGATAGTATTGTAGTTTTGATTGTTGATTCTAAGATGGGGAAAGTACTATTAAACATTGATGGATTCTAATGTGAACTAACTTCACATTACCGTTAGCCTTTGAAAGCGAATTTTCATTCCCAGAAATTTCTCCCCATTATCATTATCAAGTTTCTTTTGCCTGTCCTTGCCTAGAGAAAGTAACTCTTCAGACAGTAATGCAGAGGACTATGTTGAATTGCACGATCCCATATAGTTATCCCTTCAACAGTTCAATTATGTAAACAATTTCTTACACTCATTGTATCCAAATCAATTTTGCATTCTCTGGGAATGGATGGCAAACAAAATTAACAGATGAAACAATTAACACACAGCCTAATCTATGGGCAAAACTTGAGAGATTTTTAAGTAGAAACAGATCTACGAAAGAAAACCAGACCAAGTTAATTATATGAACACATGTAAATATGTTAGGGATATTTACATGTCTCTTTATAATTAACTTACTCCGTTTAATTTCGCAAATTGAATCTACTTAAAATATTCTCACAAGATTCTATCCTACAAGCAAAGTAAACACACTACATGCACTCGTCCTTACTCAAAAACCCAAAACTCGTTTGGTCCTCACCGAAAATGGCTTCTTCAACTTCTCCAAGTTGACAGACTGTGGGTTGTTATTCTTGAATCCTGTGTCTGTCTTTAAGATTGGATCCTTAAGGTCAGAACCAGCCACTATACCGTCGTGACTCTTAGAAGATATCTGCTTTAAAGATTGCTTGCCCTCATGTTCACTATCTGCTTCATTCTCACTCTCATCAAAAACTGGTTCTTCTTTAAGAGGATGAGCATCTACTTCTGCAACCACTGACACTGCAGCCTCTTTCGCATCTTCTTCATTGTCACTCTTGCTAAACTCTTCACCTTGATTTTCTTCAACGATTTCCTTATCTACCACTTGAGACATATTTTCTTCCCTGGAGTTACTACCACCATCATCAAGAGTGTTGTCATCATCAGGAGGAGGAGGATCATGCGATTCAGATCGCGAGAGCTCGACAGCCGCTCTCGCAGCTGCTGCTGCATATGCTGCCGACTCGAAAGCTGCCTGTGCTGCATCTGCCACATCCTTATACTTCTTCCTTGTCTCGAGGGAATCAGAAAATTCATCATCTTTTCCTCCATTACTTGAAATATGGATTTTCTCTTTTTCCCGTCTTTCAGGCTTGGGTTTGTTTTCATTTTTCACATCCAATGGTCCCTGCATTTTGGTCTCATCAAGCAATTTAGTTGTTTGAACAAGTTTTATGAACAAGAACATTCCCACTGTTTTGATCACTTCAAAACTGTATTTACCTCAACTTCACCACCAGAAGAGGCTTCTTCGAGCTGCAGAACAATATTATTCTCCGAAGCAATTTCTCTGAGTGCCTCCATTCTGCTCTCCAGGCTTGGCATCCTTGTTGACAATTTCTGTATTATCTACAGGCATCCCCAATAAACAAAATATGAATACTTCAAAGCAAGATTTATACAGTGGAGAGAAATGAAAAGTAGAACTAATATGTTAATGAAACAAATAAAACTACAGGCACGTAAATTGATTTTAGGTCAGAGTTAAGTAGAAGAAACTCTAATATACCCATAAACAAACAGATCAGAGGTTGCAGAACACAAGAAGAATACCTGACGGTGAACTCCACAGTTGTTGCGCAGCTCAATGGCGCGAGCAGCGAACTCTTTACCAAATCGAGTCGTCAACACTGCACGAATCTCTTGAAGCTCTGGAAATTCTCCACACCTTGAAGACGCATATACCAAACCCGATGCTGCCTCATTCAGTTCCTCTGGACATTCCCTGTAAACACAACTAGTCTCGAATGAAAATCGAATTCAAAGTTTTCAATGAAGTCGCAAATGAACGGACAATCGAACCAACCTTTCTTGCTCAATGAGGTGGACCCTTTCGACCAAGAGGTTCAAGTACCCTTCAAGCTTATCATACACATCCAACAAATTCTGCTCCCTGATCACATGCTCGGCCTGTTTAAACCAAACAACACATTTTTCAAAACTCAAATTTATTTCAACATCGTTGCTTCATAGGATTTGAGAGACAAGACGAGAGAGGTTTAGTGATCTTACGCGAAGCAGTGCACGTTCATGGTAACCCAGTTGCAGAAGCTCGAGCACATCAGAACGGGCTTGTTTGAAGCGAGCTTGACGCTGGTTCCTGAGGACAGCGAGGCGGGAAATGGCGAGATTAACGAGAGGCTTGAATTTTGAAGCCTTGAAGGCCCTTCCAAACAGAGCATCAAGCTTCTTACCCATAGCACCTGCTCTGTTTTTGGATGGCCTTGGCTGGTCTGGTTTGCTTCTCTCTCTCTCTCTCTAGGATTTTGAGGAGGAGCTAGAGAGAAGGAGAACGAAATATATATGGGAAACTTTCAACAACGCATTTGAACTTGGAAATTGGAATTGAAATGGCTTTCTTAGAAGAGAAGAATATGAAGGGGACGAATGGGGACTGAGCTCTGAAACGCGTTTAGTTGAAGAAGTTTGGGGCGCTGGACCAGATCTATTATGTTGCACATTTTCCACGAAAGTGCATGGAAATCTCTAGCACTCGTTATGTTCCGCTATCTCACATACGTTATACCGACGTATCTTCCTCATTTTCCCGGCAATTTTCACAATTGTTGATTTTCTGTAAATTTTGAAGACTTGCAATTTTTTAATTTTGCAGTAAGCGAAGTACCTTCAATAGCACAATTTATAGTATTTACAATGATTGTATGTTATGAGACAGGTTCATATTTTAAATTAGAATGCAGTATCCAATGGCAAGATAGCCAAGATGATCCTCATTTATTATCGTACTTCCACTCCATGATGTAGAGTATTAGTAATTAGTTACTATTTTATAATTCTAAAAGAAATTAATTAAAACATTAATATTATTCGTCTTTTTAGTTATTCCTCATTAAATTTCTTTTATATTTATTTTAATAATAACAATTAAAATTCTAATGGATATTTTTTTAAAAAGAAATAATAAATAAAAGGTATGATTGAAAAATTATATAAACTATCCAATAAATCAAGTTAATTTTAAAATTTCCTATATTACGTATTCTCACCAATCTTATTTATAGGGTAGTGAGAAGTTTTTTTACTATTTATAAATCATATCAATAAATTTTTATCACAAATTTTACCTTTTACCTTCTATTGAAGGTTAAAAAGAAAAAAAATTATTAAAGTATATATTTAATAAGGTAAAGTTAAAAATTTATTAAATTTTTACATAACATTAATGATTTTTAAGGTTTTTCTTTTTATCATGCTAAAATATATTGAAAGTAATTTATAAATAAGACAAAGACTAAAGAGAAGAGAGTACCTGAAAGCAATGTATAATTACCAATATGTTGAAAATCGGGCTAGTTATTGAATCGATCAAAACATTGATTCAAATGGTAATGTTCAAAATCATAGTTAAACCATAATTAGATTAGTTATAAATAAAATATTTTATTAAATTAATTAAGATACTAATTTAATAATTTACTAGTTTAATCGAGTGGTTTGACTTCAATTTCCATATCATAATAATTACTAAATAAAAGCTTGTACGTTCTATCATGTGTTTTGGCCACATCATATAATATCTACTCCTCTCATTTAAAAATATAAGATATTTTTAATCAAATGTCACTCCTCCAATAAAAGTAATTAATTATTTTCAAACTCATATTTCCTCCGTTCAAAAATATAAGGCATTTTTAACCGAATCTCACCTCCAATAAATTAGTTACCTACTTTTCAACTAATCATATCTTTCCATATTTATCTTTATTAAATACCTTATAATAAATATAAAGTCATTATCAATAGGGGCACTTTTGAAAAAAAGCTAATGATTACATCTCGAAAGATTAAAAATACCTTACATTTTTAAATATCCAACTCCTCAAAAAATATCTTATATTTTTAAACGGAGGGAATATCATATTTCCATATTACTCTTATTTAATAATATATTTTATTTTTAAAAAATATAAAATAATTTATTTATTATGGATACTTTTAAAAAAATGCATTAATTAATACATTATATATGTAGCATAAGATTTTTGAGCGGAGGAATATTATGTTTGAACGCTTGAAAATCGACGAAGGAGTAAAGAAAAACAAATAAAATGATGCGACAGAAATAGAAAAAGGTGTGATGTGTTCCAATGTACCATAACATGGTAATCTGATTCTTTCAGTTTTCCTCTTCACCAACCCTTGAAGTAATGTCAACATTATATACCTACTCTATATTAAGCCTATAATTATTGGTTCCGAATTATCTGTATGTATGGTAGAAGATTTGAATCATGTGCAATAGGATTTTTAAATTATTTAGTAAGGTTTACATTTATCTCGATTATATTATACTAGATAGATATGAGATAATGGAAATAACAAGTCAGAAGCATGGGAAAGAAGCTTCTACTCAGAGAAGCCATAGCACACAAAGGTCAATAAGGCGCCCCCACACGGCCGGCATAGACAAAGCCACCCAAGGGAAGTTGCAGTCAAGCGCGCTTTCTCAAGCACCATCACTAATGATTTTATTTTTAATTTTTTTATTACGTTTAGTTAATCATATGACCGTGAGAAGTTAATCTAGCTTAACTAGAAGCCTTATATTTGAATATTGAGCATGTGGCAGCAATTAAATTCTTGTTAGGAGACATGCCTTTTAAAAAATAAATACAAGCTGTCGACTGAATTAGTCTAAATCAAAGATCTAAAGCCCCATTTTGTGTGGGGTATTAAGGGGCATAGATTGGGATTATGTTTGGGTGATATCACTTTTGACATGTTTGGTATGAAGCATTCTACAATCTTTAGAATTGCTCAATACCATTTAGGTGGAAATACTCAAACCCACTAACCTTTAGTATTACAAAATCTATCATAAGATTGAAAATTTCTTGACTGAAATGCCTTCATAAAAATACCAAGGTTTTTTCCTTTGTTGACGAATCCCAACCTCCACCTTCCTTATCCGCCATCTATGATTGCCGGACCTCCACTTTCCTACTCCTTTGTCGATGACTCCAGCCCTCCATCTTCCTTCTCCTACTTTGACGACCTCATCCTTCTCCTGCTTCGATGACCCCCAACCTCTACCTTCCTTCTCTTTCATCAATGGCCCTAGCCCTCCATTTTCATTCTCCCACTTCAACGACCTCCGACCCTCCATCATCCTTCTCTTGCTCCGATGACCTTTGGCCTCCACCTTCCTTTTCCTTCATCGATGACCTTAGACCTCCACCTTCCTTCTCCTTCGTTGACAACCTTCATCAATGTCGCCTCCCTAGTGTTGTCCTTGCATCATCCTTACACCTCAAATTTGTGCGATGAGTCTTCTTTTGTGAGAAGTTGCGACAATGACTGAGAGGGTGAGATAAAGAGGCGATGAGTTTTAGATCCATGAATCCTTTCTGAGAGGGTGAGGGGCAGGTAGGTATTTGAGTCTTTTCTCTAGTTTTGTTAATCCCATTCTTTTTTTTAATCCCATGATATATCAAACATGATTTAAATTTATTTCCACGACCAATCCTAATTCCAATCTCATTCCTAATACCACAAAATTCAATGCTTTATACCAAATAGGGCATAAGATATTTGAACTCATGCAAAAATTAAAAAAAGAAAGCTACTTAAGATGAGAAAACAAAAAATTCCTTCACGCTAAGGGTCATTTATAATCTAAGTATGTTAATTATCATGACTCGCATGGTAAGTAAGCCAACCTGTATTAGTATCTGCTAATCTAAAAATGTGGTTAAGGGTGACACCTAACATGGCACGCTTAATTCTTAGATCTGTGTAATCTAATTGAAGAGTTGATGTTTGTTTAAGTGTTTACTTTAAATGGATGTGAGAGCTTTGTCTAATGATAGATTTAACATTTTAACCCTTGAAACTAGAGGCCAAAAGATTATGAACATGTTTGATTATTTAGTTTTAGAACAGGCTTTTGTTATGTAAAACAAAAAAGAAATCTGTTTTAAAATATGTTCTCTGTTATTTGTTTTAAAAAATAAAGAAATTATAAAAGTTATTCTGAAAAGCTAAAAAAATCTTTTAAATGTTGTTTTACTTGTGTTCTGCAAAATTTAAAAAAAAAGACAGAAATTATTATGTTTTTATTAATGATATTTATGTTAATAAAATAAATTATTCTTTTATATTTTATTTCACCAATTTAGATATGTTTTTTAAAATAACGATGCGAAAGACTTTTTTCATTTTTTTGTTTCTACATCATCTTCTGAAAAGCTATCCAACGGAATTGTTTTAAAATGATAAAAACAGAAAATAGAATCAAACAAACCCTAGGCAACTAAGGAATCTCCTTAATAAAAACATTTCCACTCTCACGTGATTGGTCCATGTAAAATACAATTTTTCTCTAATTTTTTTCACTTAAATTTTATTATCTCCCTTATTAAAAAGTATACATTCTTCATTTTTACAAAAAAAAGTATACTTTTTTAATTTCTTTAATTTACTGGCCAACATGAAAATGATAAACAATATAGTTTTCTTTTTATCATTATTAATTTCTCTTACTTTTCAATCAGATAATAAGAGAGATACAACACATAAATAAAATAAAAATAAAAAATTACTGTGCTAGAAGCGAAGGATTGACCAATAGATGGTGGGGTTTTTCATTCATTTCTTTCTTTCTTTTTTTATTTTATACATCTATCTACGTATTAAAAATAATCTTTACTTTTATTGTAAAGTGCGATAGGTTTATTGTTCATCAATTTTGAAGGTATTCATGAGAAGAGACAGGATCGAGATACCTTCGTCTCGTGTTTTTATCCTAAAAAGTGATTGAGACTCAAATTTTGTCTTGTATTCCATCTCATCCTAGAAGTCATCCCATCTTGATAAGAGTCGGGATGGGATCAAGATGCCTTGGCAATTGTCTGCACTTGCTTTTTTTTTATTACATTTGAAGTCAAGAGCTAAAAAAGCTTACAAGAAAGAAATTTAAGAAGAAATCTTCTTGTCATCATCCACCACCTTCAAACAAAAAGGTGGGGGTTGATCAAAAGATTGAAACACACCTATTCTATTTAAAACAAACTTAGCCAAAAAATGAGCACAATAATTAGCTTCCTTAAACATACAGTTAACCGAAATATCTCATTTTCTATAAAGAAGGGATTGTGAGTGATTAATAATATCTACAAACGAGTGATATTCCTCATTGAAACTCAAAAGGAGGTTCATTGCATCTGCACAATCAGTAAATACTTTGACTTTCTGTAGCTCCATATCCCAACATAGTTGAAGACCATATATAATTCCTAATAACTTAGTCACAGACATTAAAACCACCCGCCCAATTAGCATTCCAATCTTGGATTACACCACTACATTTGCCTAAACCATTTTTCAAAGATCCATCTACATCTAGTCTCATATAGCCCAACTTAAGCCTTGTCCATCAAATGTGAATGTCTGCTTAGCAAGTTGCAAGTCATGCTTTACTTTGTGAAGCATCGCGGCTCCATTTCCTGACCTTTCCACATCCTTACTAGCAAAAGCCTTTCTACATATCTATCACACTATATGTCTCAACATACATATCCAAAC